CTGTGGGGAGTCTGCTCCTCCCACTCCTGATGCCCACCCCCCACCTCCCTGCTCATAATTTCTCTCTCGGTCGCTCTCTCTCCCTCTCTAAAATAAATAAATAAATAAAGGAATAAATAAATGAAGAAAGAAAGAAAGAGAGAAAGAAAGAAAGAGAGAGAGAAAGAAAGAGAGAGAGAAAGAGAGAAAGAAAATCTTTTTTAAAAAAAATCAACCTATTAAACATTAAAGCAAGGCCAAAATGTACAGAAGTATCATCACCTCTAAATCTCCAAATCTGAATATATATTTCCGCTATAGGGAAACAGTGGGTTGCTTCCATCTGGGAGTAAAAAGCTCTTCATCAAAACACAAAACAATATTTCCTTCCATAAAATACAACTGCAAGGCAAGCATATGACAAGAGGTACTGACGTTCTTGTTAAAGGAGATATAAAGTGTAATAAAAAAAGATGTCACCCATGCTAAACAATTTGCATATCCATCTTGACGAACTCCATTAGGTTTCAGAGCCTGAGAATGCTTATCTCAGACTTCTTTTGGGGCTTGTTTTTATGTCTGGAATCAACCTTTCCTTTTGTTAGAAGCTGACTCATGTTTGAAGATAAGCATTTTATCAGCCTGTTTCCTGCCTGTGGAATTTGTAAGTCCAGAAATCTTTGATTTTCTTCCGTCTGTTATTAAATAAGATCTTTTTAAACTTGGAAACAGATAAGAACGTCTTAAAGCAAGATTCCTGCTCACCTCTGAATACAGAAATTTATAGCTGAGTTTTTAAAGACAAGGAGCATACTGAGGGGTGAAAGATGGGAAATGAGTAGGAGGAGACATCCTCTGAAAAGGGGGGTCTGTAGTGCTCATGATGGGAGGGTCTCTTCTTGCATGTTGCATAAATAGGGAAGGGAGAAAAGGAGTCTCTCTATCTCTGCATGGGTCTGGGACACCAACAGGTGCACTGGGACCATCAGGGAGTGTTCAATCAACCAGGGGAACTCAGGAATCATGGAGCTCATGATCCAGGACAAAAGGTTGGTTAAGGGCTCGTCTCCACTCAAGAGTTTTCAGTTCCATGCTCTGTAAATATTTCCTGACACAAACACATAAACACTTGGGAAAAACTGTAAAATCACAGATGTGTCTTCTTTATTCAAATCAATAATCGTAATGTTAATACCCAAATTTGTGATGTACCAGTTAATGGGAAATTTTAGCTAGTAGGATCATGGCCGTAACTGTGAGATTAGAAGTACAATGATCTCCATTTCATAGATGAGGACATTTCCTAAATAACAGCATCCATTCTGATCTCTGATGTTGAGAGTTTCATTGTCTGCTAATGATTACACCATTTTATTTTTATTGATGCTTTCCTTAGATGTGTACAGAGACATCATGTGTAAATGCCCCGTAGGTTGCTGAAAATGTGCAGTGTCTCCATCAACTCTATGACTCTCTCTCTAGGATTCTCAGTGTCTCCAAGCTTTCAAGAAACTTGGTGGTCTCCACCCTTCAGTCAATTTGGTAATCTGGAAACTCAGGAAGCCTGCACACCTCACCACATATGACCAACAGTGACCTGGAGGTATTTCAGGGGGGCAGGCATGTCCCATGGTGGGGAGCACAGGGCCAAACATGGGTTCACGCTTACTTGATGTGTGCTCTTGGACACCCAGAAAGCCCTTCTGTGCTGCTTGTGTACCTATCCAACTGTAAAATGGTGATAAATGGGTACCTACATCACAGGTTATTTACAGAGAACAAGACACATTGAGTATGTGAGTGGATATGAGTCAGAGAAACAGCATATA